TCCAAGAAAATTAAGAACAGTTCAAAAGTTCACCAGGAAGGCAACAATTAACATCCCGCTGGGGATGAGTGAGGGATTAGGAGTAGACATCTACATCTCAAAGATTCTACAAATCACATCTCCTATTGTCCCTCAAGGAGCCTATCATGCTAGTAAGAAACAGAGCTACCCTGAAAGACTTTTATGGGGTCCCCCTAACCAACTTTTTAGACTGAAGAAGCTGCTTGGACAAGTAGCGAAATGTCTCTACCAAAAAGAAAAGAAGTCCAGTTAATGTCTCTACCAAAAAGAAAAGAAGTCCAGTTAATGTCTCTACCAAAAAGAAAAGAAGTCCAGTTAATGTCTCTACCAAAAAGAAAAGAAGTCCAGTTGCCATGACTCAACCTCGAGACAATTCCACCTGGATGACTGAGAATCTTCATAAACATAAATCATGAACCTACTCTTTTACTCATAATGCTTGCCCATCCAGAAATGACAGAGGATCTGCAATGGAAGGCATAGGCGAGGAGGAGACTGGTATGAGAGATCAAGGCTATCAGGAGGGAGGGGTGCATTCCAGAGCAAGGGGCAAGGCAAGCACTTTCTCAGCCCGCAGCAGGACTGTGAGAAGAAGAGGAGGCTGAGGCTAGCCCTTCCCTAGACTCTCATGGGGCATATCCGTTAGTAGCTTTAGGATAGGTTTAGTCTGGCAAGATTCTATCTATAGTGTGTAAGCAAATAAAGGAACTATACTGGACTGGACTGCTTCATTGTTGTTCTTGGGCTGAACCTGACAGGACCCTAATGTACAAATTGCGATGGGCCAGGACTTAGATTCTGATTCTGACTCTGAAAAAACTGCTCCAGCTGAACCAGCAGAACGTCAGCCTCAGGAGACACCAAGCCAGGAATCACCTGAGACTGATCAAATACAGGCACCATCAGAACAGCTGGACCAGTCAGATACAGGTAGTTGTCACTTAACAACTGTTCATTTAACGATGGTCTGGAGTTATGACAGCTTTGGGAAAAGTGCTTTATGAGTCCTGAGAACACATGATCATGATTTGTGACCTATTTTACAATGGTTGTTAAGTGAATCACCACAGTCATTAAGTAAATCACATAGTCATTAAGCAAAACACATGGTCGTTAAGCAAATTCTGGCAAAAATGTCCATTGGGGAAGCTGGATTCACTTAATGACCATGTGATTTGCTCAACAACCACAGTGATTCACTTAACAACTGTCATAAAAAAGGTAACGAAATCAGCTCCAATTTGCTTAACGACCAAATTGCTTAGCGACCTAAATTCCTGTCCCTATTGTGGTCGGATAGCGAGGGCCACCTGTAATGAGATATGGCCTCCAAGTCCTCAGACTCAGCGAATGGAGCAGAGAACAGAGCAAAGACACTCAGTGAGGCTCCTTGCCAAGCAAAGGAGTAATTATCTTGATTGAAG